AAGTTGTATGTTTCATCATTTCTATACTGCCCCCTGACTGGCTTGTCTCCTCCCCATGACCCTTCTGTAAGGAGATGCCCAGTTGCCTACAGATGGGCTTTGGGTCCCCACTCCACATTCCCCCTCATTCACAATGATATGATTTTTTGTTTTGGGTCTTTGATGCCTGATACCTGATCCCATCAACACCCTCACAGGGGTCCTCAAACTTTTTAAATAGGGGGCCAGTTCACTGTCCCTCAGACCTGTTGGAGGCCTGGACTATAGTTTTTTTAAAAAATATGAATAAATTCCTATGCACACTGCACCTATCTTATTTTGAAGTAAAAAAACAAACAGGGCAAAAACACCTGGCGGGCCGGATAAATGTCCTCAGTGGCCCGCATGTTGCCCGTGGGCGGCCATAGTTTGAGAATTCCTGCCTCGCAATCACCCAGGCTGGCTGGTGTGCTTCTTCCATGTGGGCTTAGTTGCTTCTCAGCTAGATGGCTGCTAGTGCAACTCTTCTATCTGTGTCTTTGTAACTCCCACCAAATAATTGGGTGAGATCGTGCAAGTAAGATGTGGGACATTGAAATAGAGGGTCAGTTTTGCCATTCCACTAAGTATAAAAGTGAACCAGCTCAGAGGCAAGAACAGAGGAATCCTGTGAACATTCAGAAAGAAGAGCCAGCTGTGGAGCACACGGAAGTGATGGAGCACACGGAAGTGATGGAGGCAGCAGAGGGACCGGAGACCACAGCACTGAGACCATAAAGCAGGGAAAAGGAGCCAATGTTGAGACCATGAAACAGAGCAAGGAGTCACAGTGAGACTGTGCAGCAGAGTAAAGCTGAGTGCCTTGGGGCAGGAGGCTGGCTGTCAGAGTGGGATAGCTTGAAGGCATTTATCTACACTGAAGGAGCTCAGTAATACTTGCCAGAGCTGGGCTGAGGCCAAAGGACCACGAGTAGAGGTTGAAGGACCGGAGAGACATAGCTGCTGGATTAACTGAGAAGAAGCGTTACAGAAAAAAGAACTATATTTTTAACGTTTTCTGATCCTGACTTGTGCTAAACTGTTCATTCCCCAATGCTCCCCCAAAACATACAGTCTGTGAGTTCTGTGTTGGCATGCCATGGCTAATCCTCCCTGGTAATGCAGAAGACTGCAGGGGAGACAGGGGTGTCAGAATCGGCACAGACAGATGGAGGGTGGCGACACATCTAACCTGTCTCATAGGAATCATCCTTGGGCAGATGTGAAGTTAGATTTTTCCTTTCCTTTGCGTAGCCACAGGAGGTCAGACGTGGCCCCCATGGCATTTCCTGAGCTACTAACCTAGAGGTGGGCAATTGGAGCTCCCCCCCCCCAGCCGAACCCTGGAAGAAAGACCTGCTTCCAAAACCTACAGCCAAGCAAACCTATGGAGTAATTCTAGAGGGTCACCGCCAGTCAGAAGCAACCCCAGAGCAACTTTGTGGCTTGGACCTATAGGAAAAGCCTGTCACGATGTCTCTGTCTTCATAGTACTGTAATTTGTTCTACCACTTTGGAAAACCGTTTGGCAAGACATACTAATGGTAAACATATGCCTACTCATAGGTGTAGATCCAAGATGTCTTTCACAAAAAACAGGTATCAAAAATGTTGATAGCAGCCTTATTCACAACATCCCCAAACTGAGAACAACACAAAGGTCCATCAACAGGAAACTGGATATGCCACAACAATGTGGAATATTACACACCAATGAAGAATGCACGTCAGGTGAACTCTCAAAATGATTGTCCTAAAGTAATCTTTCAACCTTAAACTAAAATGACCCCTAAGAATCTTCTTGGACTTTGAAGGTGGCCTGAGGGCACGGGTTTCCTCTGGAATCCTCTCACAGAACAGTGTGGGGCCTTCGGGCTCCCAACTTCCCTGACCAGCAGATGGCCCAGAAGCAGAGGACTCTATTTTTAATAAAGTCTAGTTCAAATGCTTCAGGCATGTCCACAGCATGATGGCGGGGGGCAGGAGGCGGGGCAGGGAAGTAGCCTGTGTCCTTGTCTGAGCTCAGCAGCATTACTGGGCCACAGTAATGAGCCAGTAACCCCAAGGGACAGGGGACTCTCAGAGCCTGAGCTAGCTGTAGGTTGGTGGTCTAGCCATTTGTTCCCTTCAGAGTGTGTGTCTTGGAGATTCCAGCTTCATTTCAAGGAAGGTGGCATTTCCCAATATTGTTTGTGGTGTGCAGTCAGAGAGCTTCAAGGGCCCAGCTTCCCGCACCCTTACCCCAGCCCCACCCCCAGGGAAGCCAGACTAGGTGAGGGCCAGGGGCCTCAGTTAAAGACACTGACCAATTAGAAACATTCTTTTATTATCTCTGAGTTCTTCCCTAAAGAAAGGAGAAAACCCACAGGCAGCATTTCCACTTTCTCCCTCTCACATCCCTCCCTTCTGACACTTTCGCTCTCTCAAGCGCATAGTTGAGTAAGTGACTCCCCTGCTCCCAACCAGGCAGATGAAGACCGGTTGGCTGGGGGCCTGGGCCTGACACAGAGTGGCTATGTGCACAGGGCTGTGCAGGCCAGGAGGCTGCTGCCTGCCAGTCTGGGCAATGAACTCTGCTCAAAGAAGCAAGACACTCTGCCTGCAGAGCTGGAGCCTCGGGGACATGAAAGTGCATGCTCTGATGGTCTCAGTGGAGCTCTGGGCAGGAGCCCCGCCAGGCAGAGACCCCACAGCCCCAGTGGCAGCCCAATCACCCAGCCATAAGCCAAGAGCAGCAGAGAGACTACCAGACAGAGCAAAGAGGTTATAGTGGGCCTTGAGCTGAGGATGGGGGTGGCTTTCAGTTGGAGTCACTTTGATAGGCTTCCCACAAGAACGTGTAGATTGTGGATTAGTGTGTGTGACAGGTGAGAGTCAGAGGGCTGGAGCGCTGGGCGTCTACAAGGCTGACAGAGAGGGAGAGAGGACATGGGTTGAGGAATCTGTCCTGTGTAGAAGGGCATCGAGCCCATGCGATGTAAGTGTGGGAGTAAGTAGCAGTTAAGTTTATAAGGCCGTGTGGAAAAGCATATCTAAGCTTCCCCTTTCAGGCTGTGCTTTCCACTCAGGCTGGACACACCAGGGTGGCTGCAGCCAGCTTCCTTTCTTTTCTTTCCACCTCCAGGTAGAGCAGGTGTGTTTCTGGGCTCTGTTCAGGAGGAGGACAGGAGACCAGGACCAGGAAGCCAGCCGGCAGGAGAGCGCTGCTTGTGGACCACCATGCCACTCGCTCACCTGCAGGGGTTGAGTGGAGTGCTTCTGTAGCAGTGCAGGATTCTGGCCCTGGGCATAGATGCGTCTCCCTCCATTAGAACCCAAGGGAATTCCCCGTTTGGGTGGCAGGGGGAGAAACGGGGGGGGGGGGGAGGCACCCACTGTTCCTGAGCCTTAGTGGGGGCTTCTGTGGGGCCCCGGGAATCCCACTGGGCTCAGATCCCTGGTCCTGGGAGGCAGGAGCCATGCTGGTAATGCCACCACGGAAGAGGATTAGCCCTGAGGCTCCATCAGCCTCCGCACCTCCAACTGGCCAAGAAACCGGTCCACAGCTAGCCTACCCAGGGTTAAGAAGTCAACCAGGGGCAGCCTCAGGCAAGGCCACTGCAAGGAGAGGTCTCTGTCCCCACCCAGCACGCCCTGGACACCTTGGAGGTGATCACCGACCACCATCCCCCTGTGGCATTTCCTGGCTTGTTCCAACCTTCGAATGTCAGGCAGCAGTGTGGCCCGAGTCTTGGGGAGAGGTCAGTCCTCCCAGTGTCACACTCAAGCCATCTTCTTCTCTATCTGGGCTGGGCTTCTGGTCCGCAGAATGGCCATCAGAAATGGCTGTCCCGGGGAGAGCAGGACTCCTCTTAGCTCTACTCAGAAAATGCTTTAGAGGCACTAACTTTCCCTGTGGAGCATGCGTGCACCAAGCACACACACACACACACACACACACACAC